GTGTGTGTGTGTGTGTGTGTGTGTGTGTGTGTGTCTGTGTGTGTGTGTGTCCTTCTCTTTCCTTCACATGATTGTAAACTGACTTTCACGGCTCTGTTTTCATTTTTTTGCTCAAAGTCTGCTATCAAAATAAAATGGGAGCTTCCTCCAGGGAGCTGCTGAAGCCTTAAATGATTCAGCCAGTAAACGTCCCCACTCTGATCGCCTACATAGAAAACTATCTGCTCAGGAAGCCAGCAGCTGCTGCGTGAAAATGCAATATTTGACTTCCTGTTCAAACAGCTTGGCTGGCTGTGACCTGCAGAGGGAAACGCTTCGTTTGTTTTCAGACACGCTGCAGTAAATCCGCTCGTCCCGGGCTGCGGTATGACACCGAGCTCCTGGTGGGAACCATTAGCTGCTTTAAACGCTGCCTGACTCCGAAACCTCCGACCGCTGCTGCCGAGTCAGCAGGAAGAGTCCAATCAGCCGTGTGTAGCTCACATGTGTCTCACAGAGTCCTCAGTGTGTGTGTGTGTGCGTGTGTGTGTGCGTCCCTGCTGACGTGTTGTAAAATGTGTGCATGCTACAATTAGGACGGGTTCACGGCTGTGTGAGTGAAACAGTCCAAAAGGTCACCGTGCCCTCTACTGGTCAAAGTCACATGACTCATGAAGTGACTGAGGTGACTGAGGTTGGGGTGGATGGACGGGTTGGTGTGTTTGAATGTAGGTGGTATGACAGTCTTTCTAACCGTCCGTCTCCATCTGTCTCCGTCTCAGGTGAGGTTCCGGGCACGGTGAACTTCGTCCTCTCCAAAGAAGGTGGCGACCTCTCTCTGGTGGAGCAGGCCAACGTCTGGCTCTTCCTCCGTTTAGCCAAGACCAACCGCAGCCGAGCCAAAGTCACCATCCGCCTCTTCCAGCAGCACCACCCGTCCGGCGGACGTCCATCTCTGCCGCAGGACGACACCCTCCTATCAGAGAAGACGGTGGACACCCGCCGCAGCGGCTGGCACACCTTCCCGGTGTCAGCGGCCGTGCAGGCCCTGCTGCAGAGCGCCACAAGCACGACACTGAGCCTCAGGGTGTCCTGCCCGCTCTGCGCCGACACCGGCGCCACCATCGTCCTGGTCTCGGGCAGCGCTGACACATCGCAGCGCAACAACCAGCGGGAGCAGTCCCACCGGCCCTTCCTCATGGCCGTGGTCCGGCAGGGAGACGGCAGCGACTCGCAGCGGCGCAGGAAGCGCGGGCTGGAGTGTGATGGGAAGGTGCGTGTCTGCTGCAAACGGCAGTTCTACGTCGACTTCAAAGACATTGGCTGGAACGACTGGATAATCGCTCCACGCGGTTATCACGCCAACTATTGCGAGGGCGAATGCCCCTCCCACGTGGCGAGCATCACCGGGTCCACGCTGTCCTTCCACTCCACTGTCATCAGCCACTACCGCATGAGAGGCTACAGCCCCTTCCAGAACGTGAAGTCGTGCTGCGTGCCAACCCGCCTACGAGCCATGTCCATGCTGTACTACAACGAGGAGCAGAAGATCATCAAGAAGGACGTCCAGAACATGATCGTGGAGGAGTGCGGCTGCTCGTAGACGCAGACCTGAGCGGGACAGGAGGAGCACCTCTGAACCCAGAGAGGGAGGAAGCTGACTCTAGGATCATCACGTCACTTTTATTGACTGTGTTTCATCCTTCGCCTCCTTCCGTCCCTCGAGGTCGCCCTCTGGGGTAAAAAACTCTGCTCCAGACTCGTCCAGCAGAACTCAGAGAGTCTCCACGGCACTTTCAAAAAAAGAGAAGAAAAAAAGCTCTAATATATTTTTGTTACAAACGGAGGAGCGAAGCTTATTTATGTGGCTGAGACGTTCAAGCACCGCTGAACCGACTTCGGAGAGACGAGGTGCCTGAAAAAAATGCGACAAAAGAAGAAAAAAATCTCAAAACTATGCAACTTGTTTCACGTTTTCAGACCTTATTGTACTTTATTTGTCTCCGTTTGTCGGCTCCCCAAATGTTTACTTTCTCAAAATGTTGGAGGAAGACAGAAGAAGACTCTTGTACTTTATTTAGAAGTATACGTGTGTGTGTGTGTGTGTGTGTGTGTGTGTGTGTGTGTGTGTGTGTGTGTGTG